GTGTTTAAAATGATTGTGTTAAACAGATTATATGTCCATATTCTTCTATGTTGATACACATTTACTTTGACAGTCTTAAAATACATTTTGTAAATAATTTTTACTTGCTCTCATATTTCCACAGATGCTCTAGCACCCCCAGTTTGAAAACCTCTGCCCAACACACATGCATTATATTAATAATTATTTGAAAGTATATTGATACATTGTGAAAATATTTAAAGGTTTAACCAATGGTTCCTTTAGACTTTCAGCACAACAGCACTTCAAACCCTGGTTATCTTCACGTGACTTGTCGTGCATTCATATTAGCTACGTTTACTTTTTGACTAACCTATACATTGTAAAAAAATTATCTTTCAAAGTTGAAGATAAAACACATTGAAATACATTTTACAAGAAAATACTTTTTCAGTCTTTCTACTTCAACATTTCACATTTAATTCAATGTGTCACTTGCCATTTTGTAATTATTTGTAAAAGGTAGTAGCAATTATTGAATGAAAATTATTTCAGGTAAATGCTACACAACAAACAAACCAGACAGGAGAGTAGATTAACGTCGGTTGACAAACTTGAAAAATGGTGTGTACTGACATCTTTCCATGGTTTAAATAAAATATCTTCTGATATTCATTCATGTTTATTTTGTGCTTTAAGTAAATATGAAAAAATGATCGGTTCATGTGCCGCTGGAACTGATCTGTCACGACACATTAAAGAGCCACAAAACGGTATTTAATGTTTGAATTTCTTAAAAAAAAAAAAAAGACAAAATTCATACCAAAATATGGGGGGGGGGCTTTGCTAAGGGTCAATTGAAAGAGAAGATGTCACTTCCCGTTAGTGAGAGTGTCTCTGTCTCTTTATGCCTAGCCTTTTCATTTGTACCCTCCTTTCAGAGAGATCAAGAGCAAACAAGTCATACACAAGACAACAATTGTATCACTGGGATATGGGCACAGACTGTCAGCACTTTACTAGACAGGCTTTATTGAGAGAATTTAAGGTGCTATAAAGTGCCAGAACGCTGCATGAGGAAATAATGAAAATATAGTTTTTACAAACGCTAGAGGTGAGACACTGCATATGCCAGTATTTAGAGTTTATTTATGTGAAGGACGAGAGCGATCCCTAAAGGAAAGGCCTATGAGGGAGACTTTTGGTTTCCATGGAAACTGGCAAGACAGCCCTAAAGAAAAACAATGGTGAATCATCAGGTGGGTCCTTACTGATCCAGATGTCTACAGACGAGAGCACACACACACACAGGTTTGTTTTTGTGAAAAGTGGGGACATCTCATAGGCGTAATGGTTTTTATACTGTACAGACCGTATATTCTATTGCCCTACACCAGGGGTAGGCAAGTTCGGTCCTAGAGAGCCGCAGTCCTGCAGAGTTCAGCTCCAACCCTAATCAAACACACCTGAACAAGCTAATCAATGTCTTCAGGATTACTAAGGCTATAGGCAGGTGAGTTTTTTTTTCAGGGTTGGAGCTGAGTCAACTTGTTAGTATGTCCGGATCATTTCATCATACAGCCTCATCCCAAAGGAGCTCATCTTATAAAAAAAACCAAACAAACAAAAAAAAAACCTGAAACCCTCATCCCAGGTCTCAGGTCAACCCTTCCAAACTCTTAAATCACCCAGCCTCATCCCAGTGTCACCTCACTCTAGCTGTGTTGAATAAAGCCTTTACTGCAGCGTTTAAGCACAGAAATGTGACCTTTCAAGCGCGGACTCTCTGCCTCATTAATTCACACGGAGTCCAGACAAATCTGGGAGCCTCCAAACCCAGGGCTGCAATCTCAGCGGGAAAAGCCTGTGATTCCCACAATAACTGCCTGCTCTCGCTGCTCTGACCTGTCTAGACGTCTCCACCTTGAACCTGGAGTTGGTGTCAAGCTTTTTAGTGTCTTGCAACATCAAAGTTTGCTCATGAAAAAGAGAGTGTAGGTCACATTGTTCCGTCTCATTACATTTTCCTAACTTTCGTAACTTACAAACTACAATTTATCCGCCCTGATTTGGTATAAATCTACAGTATTTAAGTGTCATTAGTATAGTTAGTTCCATTAAAATAAATACTCTGAGACAAATGCCAACAGTATGTTGGGGGCAAATGAAAAAATACTACTAATCCACAATATAATTAATTATATTTAAAATAATGAATCAACTGTATCTGAAAAGACACAGTTCAGAGTAATCAACTGCTTTAATACTTAATATCACTAAATAGCATTTGCATTTATATGGTACTAATTACTTTAGCTATCAGGGATAAAAAAAAGTGTTTAAAGCAAAAGTCTAAGCAAAACCTAGAGTATAATTATCTGAAAATTTATTAAATCCTGTTTACTAATTTATACTGATCAGCTGAAGAATCAAAAATAGTTTCCCAAAACAGCCAATGTTTCAATTCAGGCACACAAATTTTTATATCATAATTTTTAGTTCAGTCACCCTTGAACTTGCTAAAAATAAATAAAAATTCAAACCTGTAGAGTAGCCACCAGTTACCGTCTAAATATCTGGCATTCAACAAAAATTAAAATCACATTAAATCATCTTGTTTAACTGACAAAATGTAGGGCATTACAGTCGCCCCCACTGCTATCCTTTACTATAATTCACGGTCTTATAAACTGAGACAAAACTGAATATTACAAGGCCAAATAAAAAGTACTTTTATAGTCAGTATATGATGTTCAAATGAAAATATAGGAGATCCAATAAACTGGTATTAAGCTATGAATTCTTAATTAGATACAAGCTCATCTGGCCAAAATATTGGGACATTAGTTAACATTTCTCCCCCTTCCAGAGGTGTATATACTAGTGTATCTGAAACAGAGACTGATGGTAGTTAGAAGAGTCCTCAGAGTAACAGCTTCCTTTGCAAGCAGTTTTCTAATGGAAAACTAATTCATATTAAGTAAGAGTTAATCAACACCAAATTGAAATCCGATTCCCATTTAATGCTTTGTCAGCCCAAATAAATTGTTAAACACTGACAAAGACCAAAAAGCTCTGTCAGTAATCAATGGCCATTTTCTGTAGTGACTTGTGTTCCTGACAGCATACACAGCATTGAGGTGAATGTGTGCAGGACATTAGTTAAATTAGCTATACAATATTGTTATTTTCATTTACTGGTATTTATTCCATTAACCATGAGGAGATAAAATCAAAATGTCCATTTATGTATAAAGCTTGCACTTTTGACCTCATTATCTGACACATTAAACCAATTTCTTATATTTGCAACATTTCACTAGAAAGACAATGCCAAGTGGGTTCTCTACTCAGGCAACATGGTTAATCTGCTTTTAATGGATTTGAGGGATATTGTGTGTGTAACACAGCTGTTATGTAATGATACACACAGTGGAGACTAATGTTCCTCTGTGGTGTAATCTTTACGGCCACTTTGTCTGTGGTATTATTCTAATGCAGCATTTCAATCACCGCACAGGGTTTCAATGCAAACCAAACAACCAAGCTCTGTAAAAAACAACCCATTTTGCTACAGTCATGTTTGTGCGGCAGTAAATGTCACTCAGAAAGGGCCAATGACATCTCAGCTGGGGTGAAATCACCAGGCAACAACGTATATGACTTAAAGGGGGTGGCCAAAAGAACATGACATGAAAAACTTTAAAATGTTTGCAAAGGTGAGTCATGATAGGTTGATTACCAGTTGGCACCAATCTAAAGGCCTCTGGCAACTGCCACTTTGAATTATGATGCAAGGCAATAATGAGGGGTATAAAGAGTCAGGTTACAAAAACTGTAAAACGTTTGTGGAAAATGTCTTACACATTATTTAACTATTTTGGAGTGTAAATTTAGTGTTTCATACATTTAAAAACAACTTTTTATTTGAATCTGATTTCTTTCCACATTGACAGTTACTACCCCACATATCCAAATGCCTATCCAAAGATAGATGCTAATTGAATTAGCATCCGTCTAAAAAAAAAACCCACTCGTATCCAAGGCCAGTGCATATCACTCACCCTACTTTTTACACCCCAAAACATTGGCGAAAACAAATGGATGCTCTCTGTCCCGTTTCTGTTGGCAACAGTTAAGAATGTTGAGGAAACTGTAATGGTATCAGCAGCCAGCTAATTGGAGTGATTAGATCTTGATAATTGCTCTGCAGGGTCACATAATGTCCAAGGAATATAATGCCATTTTACAGGATAAAGCAAACATTGTTCTCTCAATATACTGCCATATTCCAGAGTGCTGATACATCTGCACAGGAACAGAGAGGTTTCATAAACACCCCAACCATCAGATCTAAACAGATCAGTTTTCGAGGACAGAGTGAGAAGCAAATTTCTACCTCCTTCACCGGTCCTTCAACTGGACGCTTTTCATTTTGATGAATGCCATAACATCCCACTACACTCTATTCAGTACTTGTATGGCAGTGATCCAAGAATCATTGAAGCTGTTGAAGGCAAATGGTTTTTCAGCTTGTAATTACTGTATGTCTCAGACTCAGCACTGCATGGGGGCCTGGTGTGGGCCTGACACACCCAATTACAACTGGATCATGGGAAATCATGTAACCATGGACACTTAATTAAGAAAACATCTACATTCTCTCTTTTTCCTCATTAAAGTAGGATCTCAGGTTCAATCACCACTGACATTTTTGAAAAGCCCTCATTAAACTTAAGTTGGTTTGCTTCGCGTGCCATCTTCTCTGTTTTCCTTTTCTTCTGACTCCACTTAATACGCCATAGGAACAATGTTTTTCCTCTCAATATGTAGCGAATGCATCTTTCTTGGTAACCATCCCTTTGTTAACTTTAGTTACTAACAACCAAATTACTTCTTTACGATAGATAAGCTACTGTTATGTACCAGTGTCAGCCCAACACAAATAGTGAGTGTTCAGACACAATTGTTGACTTCTTGAATTTTACAGAGGCCTTGACATATAAAATTCTCACCAAGTATAGATTATGATTGGGTACCTGAGTGTTTTGCGAACCATATCTTCATCAGTTATCCCATAATACGTCAGGGTCTCACTCCAGACAGGGTTGAGAGTGTTGCGTAGGGTCTTGGTGCGGAGCTTATTGGCCTGGAAGAGATGACAGATTTGCTCGTAGAAGCTAAGAAGCCAGACCTGTGACACCTTTGACACTGTTCATATTTTTATAATAAAATTACATGAATTAGTGCTTTAAATTCTGTATTAGACATGTACCACATTCTGATAACAGGGTTGCAAAATGGCAAACCTCATTTAGAATTAATAGAAAATAAAACAGCTCATATAATATTTAGTTTGACCTTCCAAGGTTGGCGATCATCATTTTATGAATCTCAAACACCTTCTTGCACCATTTATTGAAAAAGGAGGAGAAGAAAAGAGTGTCCTATGTTGTAGCCAGTGCATGGAAAAAGTAAAAAATTCCTAACAATGATTAAAGCAGGTGCGATTAACGCCTAGGTGTTTCCTAATCCTAAAGGGTTAACTCAGATATCCTATCCCATTCAATTACTCTGTAACCCTGTGAAGGAGAGTTCAGCTGTACTGTAGGACGTATGATCCAAACAGAAGGAGAATGACTTAGAGAAGTCTTATGTTGTCAGTAGCTAAGTGGATTGTTGGCAGGATGAGCAAAGAGGGTACCGGTCAAAAACAGATGAATTATAATGAGAAGTATGATGATAATTTGTAGAGCACAGAGGTTGTTCAGTGACAAGAAAAAAAGTGGCATTTTATATTTCAATGTTGCACTGGCCAGTTTGATTAATGTAATCTAGACTCATGTTGGGACAGAAAGAGTTGGTATAAAAGAGTGCTTTTAAGAGTTAATTTGAAGTTGGATACCTCAGGCTCAAGAGTCTGAAGTAAAGAAGTTGTGTTGTGTTGTCTCATTATGATTTTTGAGCCTGCATCCATCCTTTTGTTATTTAAAACAAAATGCACAAAAAACACAGGCACCTCCCACAAGTAACCTTCCATCTGATGTGTTACTGAAGGTTACTGATGTGATTTAAAATGTAATTTTAACTGGATTGTACTACAGGTAGAGCTTGTTCTGAAAACAGAGTAGAATAGAATAAAATAAGCTATCGCAGTGCAATGTGTCTACACTGCAAACGAGATGCTAAAGTGTTAAGAGTCTAGAGATGCACAAATAATAATATGAATATATATTTTATTCATAATAATATATTAATCTGAATCATTTGAAGTCATTCTGTGGCCCCCTAGGAATTTTCTTGAGGCCCCCTAATGGGTCCCAGCCCTCTGGTTGAGAACCACTGCCTTAAAACATATAAATCATATAACTACAAGCCTCCTTGCATTGTATAAAACAATGCATCTCCAAGGGGAGAGCAGGCACATACCTTACTAGCTCCAGGCAGCAGGTGCAGCTTAACATAGGGATCTGACAGCCCATTGTGATCCATTGGTTTGAGTCCCTGAGAGAGAGGGAAAGAAAAAAAACATGCGTGACTTATGAAAAACAACCACTTTTAGACATCCTCTGAAGTCAACAGCACAAAGCTGTCAGCCTGATAGATTCCACAGGCTTTAGATAACCAATTCATGTCAAATTCCTGCTTTTTCTAACAAGACGTACCATTTCAGATCCGACCAAATAAGCTAATTAGAAACACTGGAGGTGGTGTCATGCCATGACAGCAGAGCACTCTCCTAAAGCTCTTAGCTTTCTATTAACATGCATTTTGGTATGGGCAAAAAGCTTAAGCACTTTGGGCATAAAAAGCCCAATCGCTGTGTGGAGACGGCAGAAATATCAGACGTGCAATCATCCAAAAATGAACTGAGCAGTTGTGTTGGTGCCAATAATAATAAAGAAATATATACAGTGGGTACGGAAAGTATTCAGACCCCCTTCAATTTTTCACTCTTTGTTATATTGCAGCCATTTGTAGAACCATCTCAAGGATGATCAGAAGAAATGGACAGCACCTGAGTTAAATATATGAGTGTCACAGCACAGGGTCTGAATACTTAGGACCATGTGATATTTCAGTTTTTCTTTTTTAATAAATCTGCAAAAATGTCAACAATTCTGTGTTTTTCTGTCAATATGGGGTGCTGTGTGTACATTAATGAGGAAAAAAAATTAACTTAAATGATTTTAGCAAATGGCTGCAATATAACAAAGAGTGAAAAATTTAAGGGGGTCTGAATACTTTCCGTACCCACTGTATATATATATAAAATGTGCAGCTTTGTCTGAAGCATGTTTTTGAAATTTTCCTTATAATCAGATTCAACCCGATTCTTTATTAAGTATGTTTTTTGAGCTATTTAAACCCCACACAGAACTTATAAATCATAAATTAACTACAAGCTGCACAGGATTTCGAGTAAATATCAATACAAAGCTAGACAACACTGTCTGCTATCAGAGAGTCTGTGAGGCAAACATTGATCTTATTGAAAACCTTGCACCACCTGACACCCATCATCCCCTCTGCTCCACAGTCTTTGTAGTGGGATTCAGTGAGGTGGCATCGGACTTTGGATTCATAGGGCTGCGTAGATCTTGAGGCCAATCAATATCAAAGAGGGTATCGCAGAGGGTCTTTTCAACACTGTTGTTAACCATCACATTCACAGTCAGAGAATGGCACTGCTGTCTCTCAGAGACCTTAAGGGGAATGTTTTCGATTAAGGGAACATGTTCCTCACCAAGTCTGGATTTACCTTTGCAGTCCAAATAATGGTTTTCTGTTTAGCTGTCTGCATAATGCAACTTTGCAGCAAGATTTCAGAAAAGTGTTTGTTATCTTCAGTACACAACAGTCAAGAGTGCTTTTGCACTAATAAAATCAAGTCTATTCCCACGGAGAGCTGCTGCTGAAAGAGCTTCAGGTCTTTCCAGAAATGTCTGGCATGAAATTGTCTTTCTTTGAATATTCAGCAGAACCAAGTTAGTGAGAGAAAGAAAAGAAAAAATACTTAAAGGACAAACATTATTCTGTTTCTTATTAATGCTGTCAATATATAATTTTTTTGTAGTTAGTATGTTAACATTCAGTTTCTGTTTAACACAAGAAAATAAGAAAATAACTTAAAGGGGTCATTGCTAAAAAGAACATTATTTTGTGTATTCGGTGTAATGAAATGTGTTTATGCGGTTTAAGGTTCAAAAAAGACATTATTTTCCACATAATGTACATTATTGTTTCTCCTCTATGCCCCGCCTTTCTGAAACGCATCGATTTTTACAAAGCTCATCG